CTGAGCCACCTTGGAGATGTTGCTTTGAACCTGAATTTCTTTCTAGGTAGGGTTTAGGAGGGCAGTGTGCCTGTGAGAGGAGTTGCGTTTGTATCTTTTTCATCGTTATTCTGACCGGGAGTGATTGGGGGTTAACTTGGTGGATGTCATCACAGGCTTTGAAGTCACAAGCCTGCTTGGTGGGTGATCAAGCGACCACTGCAGATCTCTCAAGTTTGGAACCAGCTAATGCTCTCCTGCTGTACTCTCCTGTCCCTTTAGGAAGTTTTGCATTTTCTTTGCTTAAGCCCCAAACAGATTTGTTCTACAAGTTATTTTTACTCAGGGCAAACACCAAGCTCTGTATCTGAAAAGCAAAGCCACCTGTCAGCCACAACCAGGTGCATGTTGCATTTGGCTTGTGTGTCAACATATACCCACGCTGTAAGAATAAAACCCCCCAAGAGGTTGACCTTACCTTCTAGAAAGCTGTGCCTAGGAGAGTGGACAAAAATCAGTAGTCAGAGGCATGTTAGACTTGAGATGGTTGTTAATGTGGAAGTTTAGGACTCCTAGTGTGTTGCATAAAAGCTGGATTCCTGTGACACCATTCCGTATCTGTATCTTGCTTTGTGTGTCAGGTCCTGGGCCAGTGGGAACAGACCATCAGATAGAGAGAGGTTCTGTCCATTTGTTGCCTGTGAGGGAGATGGAGTTTGACAACCAATTCTACCCATAACTCACTACTGCTGGCCAACAATTATAATAGAAACTAAAGACGGTGACCAGGAGGGATGCTACTGGATTTGGTTATCCAGCCAGAAGTGAATGCAGAAGGTGGGTCTTTTGGACACAACCTGTTTCTGGTTTTGTAGCTGAGCTGGCGACATCTAGCTGGCGACATCTGAGCTGTTAGATTCGGGGTCCTGGGTTCGGCATTGGAGTTGGCTCTGGAGGCTACTTAGGGAGGTGTCCATGAAGCCACAGGGCTGAAAAGTGGCTTCCTTCAGAGAGTACAAAGAGCAAGCAAGAGGCTGGAACCTGGGAGACTGTCTGCACCAAATATTTTCTTAAAGCTTGTTACCTGCAGGCTGTAGAGCTGTAATAGTTGTAATAAGATCAGTGTTCCTCCTTGGGTGCCATTGTCTCCGTCTTGCAGTGGCTGAGCATGACTCAGGAGCTGTCTGTGGCACCCGTGAGAATTCTCTTCCTAAGTGTAGCAACTCCTGTGATCTGGGCAGGTTCCTGTCTCTTTGCACATGATTTTGCACATCCCTGAGCGATCCATCCTGGACTTAGTGTGGGCCTCAAGCCATCTGCAAAACATTACCTGGAGCTTGCTAGGACTGCAGGATCTGCATGTAAATCCCTGAGATCAACCTGCCAGTTGCAGAGTGAGAAGCACTGGTCTAGTTACCACCTCAGGATCTGAGCCTGGCACACTCAGCCTCCCAGACAGACTGTGTTGGTAGCTCCTACAACCTTGTGAGCTCAGGTCAGGGTCAGTACCCATCGCAGGTAGTTGGGTCCTATTAAACAACCTACCCCTCTGAGTGGCTCGGTTCAGAGATTCTGCTTCAACCTGGGAGGACCCAGCTTCCTCCATGGAATTAGCAAGTTGCCTCTTCTGCTCTGGTTCCCTTGCTGCACCCCTGTTTAGGGACTTGGAGGAAGTAGCAGAAAATAAAATAGAGCAAAAGCCACCAAGTGGACGGTGGAAATTCAAGTGCTGAAAAGCTATAAATGTCCCAAGGAGATCAAAATAAACCAACAGCAGGACTGAGAGATCTTTAGAAAGCAGCCTTTATTGTAACAAAATTTATATGGATTTTAAATGAATTCATTGATTTCAAGTGTACAATTTGACGAGTTCTAACAAATATATGCAGACGTATAGCCATCCCTGTTGCCAAAGTGTGGAATCTTTCATCACACCAAAAAATGTCTTTGTGGCCTTTTGTTTTCAGTGTCCGGTCTCCAAGCAACTACTGATTTGCTTTTATCCCTTTTTTACCTTTCCTAGAGTTTCCTTATAGATGCAATAATACAGTGGTACTTCTGGCTTCTGTTGATCTGCCGGTGATTATGAAATTCATCCATATTTCATATGTCAATAGTTCCTTTACATTGCTTAGTAGTATTTCTCTGGGTAGGTACTATAATCTATTAATTTACCAACTGACGCACTTTTGAATCGTTACCAGTTTTGGGATAATTATGAGCAAAGTTGCCATGAATATTCTTTTTTTTTTTTTTGTCTTTTTTTGGGTCTCGCTATGCAGTTCAGGCTGGCCTTGACCTCCCTTTGTAGCCCAGGCTGTTCTCGAACTCGCAACGATCCTCCCACCTCAGCCTCCTGAGTGCTGGGATTACAGGTGTGAGCCACCACGCCCAGCTCGCCATGAATATTCATACACAGGTCTTGGACAAATTGTTTCATTTGAGAATTTTTATCTACCTGCTAAGCATTTTTTTGTTGCTATTGTTTGGTGATAATGGGATGTGCTACTACTGAGCTATATCCTTATTCTTTTATTTTTATTTTTTTATTTTGAGATAGTGTCTTCCCAAATTGCCAAGTTTTGACTTGAATTTGGGATCTTTTGGTTTCTAGCTGGCATTATAGGCATGTGCCTATAAAAGAAACCCTGTCGGGCTTCTTTTAAGCTTTGTTATTTTAAAATAATTTTAGATTTGTAGTGAAGTTGTGAAGCTAGTACAAAAACTCCCATGTACCCTCCAGCTTTCTCTAATATTAATATCAGATATAATCATGACATGCATCAGAATTAAGGCATCAACATTAGCACAGTACTGTTATCTAAGCTGTAGACAAATGCCAGGATGTCACTAGGGTATCATCACATGGTGCAGTCATCACGGGTCTCCTTATTCATCTCCAAAGTGTGGCAATTTCTTTTCTCTTTCCTTGTTTTTCACGACTTTGATACTCTTGATGCTGGTCAAGTATTTTGTACAGTGTCCCTCAATTTCAGGATTATCTGTTGTTTTTTATCATTAGATTAGAATTTGGGTTTGGAGGGCGGATACCTGGGAAGTGTTTGGGGTACACTACGTCGGGGGTACATGGCCTCGACCTGCTGACTACTTGGTGGAGGCGGTGCCCGCCAGGGTTCTCCACTGTGATGACGCTCATTCCTTTCCATATTCTGTCCATTGGAAAAGTCAGTGAGTCCAGCCCATTTTCAAAGGGAGGAAGATGAAGCTTTACCTCCTAGAAAGCGGTGTTGTGAGGGACTGGAAGACATAACTACTATTCCAATATAGATATTTTGGGAGTGTTGCTTCAAGCCTATGCAAAGTATTCTGTTGGCTCCTAAGTTGTGCCTACTGACTTTAACATCCATGGCACATCCTGCCTGTATGCACTGTGATGATAATTTTTTGGTGATTTTTTCTGTCTCTCTTATTCCTTCTTGTATTTAATATATGGAATTCTTCTCTTTATTCCATCATTTGTTTATATTAGTATGGACTCCTGCATATTTATCATATTCTCTGACGAGGAGACGTTTTTAATTAGGAAAACAGCCTCTCTGTGTCATGTGAGGGGAGGAGGGAGGAGAGTTTAGATTCTGGGGAAAGGTGGAGAGGAAAAGCCTGGGAAGATATTTGATGTCGTGGGTGAGAATTTGAAGGTTCCTCGATTAACTAGCTTTTGCCTTCTCAGTCAAGACGTTTTCTGTGACAGCAATGGTAGATTAACTTTTGGAATTGTGATTTTACTGAACGAAATTCTTGGCCCCTGGAGTAGTCATGTTTCTGGACATCATCCTATTGACATTTTGGCAAAGAATTAATTGTGATGAGGGGCAGTCCCGTGCATGGGAAGGTGTTAGACAGCATCCTTGGCCTCTACTTCTAGATGCACGGAGCTCCGGCTTCTGTTCCCCAGCAGTGCCCACCAAAGTGTCTCCAGGCATGGTCAAATGTTTTCTGAGGAGCTAAATCACATCATGATGAGAACCACTGATCTAAAGCAATATGCACAATCGTGGCAATCGGAAAGCTCCCTGGCCATTACCTTTAGACAGTGGAGACCCAGGCCTTCACCTGTTACCGTGCTGTAGTGAGATCTAAGTGGCTGTGCTGGGAACCCTCTCACCATCGCAGGAGGTAAGGCTAGGCCTGGGTTACCAGGCACACAAGCCAGAAGAATAAAGAGGAAATGGGGTGCAGGCTTGTCAAACGTCTGAAATGATTTTACAAAGTGTTGCTGTGTTTATCTCCCAGCTTCATGGTGAAAGGTGTTTTTGCTTTCTCTGTGGTTTCTGTATGGGCTGCTAGAGACACCTTGGGTGTTCTGACAGCTGGGGACATGGAAGCTCTTCTCACAGGTTAGATTCTGAAAGCCCCTCTGATCTAAATCCAACATGGTGAGTGGGGAACAGTTGCTGCTGAACTTGTTTCCTAAGACAGTTGGGGGACGTTGGAGGAGGTGACTCCTTTCCCAAGTTTCATTTAACCATTCAAAGGTGCTTGTATGTTGACTGCACTGTTTTTCCCTTTGCTAATTTTTATAAGACACTGCTGTTTTCAAACCTAGTGACAGAAATTAAGGAACAAGACCAGGGCTCAGGCTGATGGGACCTGTATAGCCACTGATGCCATCTGTTGGCAACTGGCAGAACTGATGGCCTTCCATAGGTTGGAGCCTTGTTGATTACAGAGGAGACAGGTGGCAGTGGAAACCTGGTTTCTATTCAGGAGGGTAGCACTGTCAGGAGTGGGGAGGGGGGGGGGAGGATTAGCCGGGTTGGTCTTCAGCAGAAAGCAGATGGTGCCAGGAATCTAAAGCTGAAATAATTTTAGGAGAATTTTTCAAGGTATTGACTGGGATACCATTTGACCTAAAATCTGCTAGAAGTCAATTAATTGTCAGTTGAGGAATTGGGCTTTATGAAGTTAACAGGGCAACGAGACAACTCTCTAAGCTAAAACAAAACAAAACAAAACATAATGTCTCCCATGGAGCTGGCATGCAATCATTATTTCTGGAATTTGATTATTGGTTAGATGCCACAAAGTGGGTGGCAGTGCCTTACCCATGTGTGTGTTGTCAGGCCAAGGCCCTCTTTCATCCTTGTCGACAGGAGTGCTAACCTTCTCTCCTTTCATACAACGTGGAATTTGATTATTGGAACACAATAACTCCTCACTCTCTTCAAAGCAGCTAAGATAACAGCATGCAAAATAGCTGTTATGTTCTCTCTTCTTCCAAAGTACTTTCAAGTTCTGTACAATTTGTTTCCATACCAGTAAATTGAGGCCAGTGTATTCCTGTGCTTCCGTTGACAAAACTGAGATTACCAGAGACTAAGTTTTCTAAGTCTGTATCTCTGATAATGAGAGACACGAGCCAAACTTGGGGTCCTTTCAAAATCTCTGAATTGAGAGGAAAGACAGGCACCGGCCAGGTGGACTTAGTGCCCCAGACACTGTCAGATAGGCTGAGTCAGGCATCCCTTCTGGACCCCGGTGATTCTAATGCACCGTCTGCGATCCGTGTGCCAGCAGTACCTGCATGCTTGTCAGACATGCAGAGTCTCGGTCCCTCCCAGGACTTCCTGACTCTGACTCTACATTGTCTTAGGAGTCTTAGGTGATTCTTTCACATGGTGAAATTTGGGAACACGCAGATACCGCCTCCAAGTCCAGACCTGAGGAGCTGTCTGTCTGTCTTTGGCTTTACCCTTTTTAGATGGCATCAAAGCCTGGCTCGGACGACTTCTATCCAAAGCCTGAGGCTTCCCACTATTCAGTGTGATCTTCATGCTTCTGATTGAAGAGAACTCAGGTCCTTCTTTCCTCTAACGTCTCACTCATGGTTAACAGTCCAGTCTCCATTTCTGAGTGCTGCATGGGCACTGAGTACCCATGGGTACTGGGTACTGAGCCTCCATTTCTGGGTACTACATGATATAGACACCAAACCTAGAGCTGTGGGCTGCCCCTGGGGTCCTCCGGGTGAGAGAGATGGTGGTCATTGCCAGCTTAACCGAGGGGTTCAACTTTTGCTTGGCTTGTAAGACTGCTTCTTGCATTAACTTCTAGCTCAGCAGTTGCTTGGACTGGAAAATTGGGAGGCAGGGACTTTTTTCTTCCCTAAATAGAAAGGACTCAGTAAATGTTTGTTTTTGAATATTTGAGTGAAATTAAGGCTGGGTGGGCATGTGGGAGGTGTTGGCACTATACAGGGCTGCATCCCAGCTGGACTTGGCTTTAGTCTGAGGCACTTCCGCAACGAGGCCCTGTTCTTTGGCAGAGACCATCCGTTCTCTTTCTCAAGGAGGCCTTGTAGTTCACACATTTTTTCCCTTGGTGCTGGGGCTTGGACCCAGAGTCTCACGCGCGCTACCTGAGTACTCTACCCCAGCCCCTAATTCATTTCTTAAAATCCATTGCTATAGATCTTTTCAAAATCCAAGTTTCACGTTGGGTAGTGACTAAACGAGACACAGTGGTCCCTGTTCAGACTGTTTTTGGGAACCCTCTGAGCCTTGGCTTCTTTTCCAGTCCCTCGCTGCTGTTCTTAACAAGCCCTCTTTGATGGAGGACCCTTTGGAGAGGGCAGTTGTTTCCTTTTCTGTTTCTTTTTTTCTCCAAGCTCCCCTCCCTCTGCCACCTCCTGTACGGCTTCCAAACTTCCTCCCCAAAGGGAAACAACAACAAACCAAACTTTCAGAAACAAGGGGAGGCTTGTCCCCTCTGGTAAAACCCCTCAGAGAGTTGTGAAAGGAGCCCTAACGGGCCTGGCCTCAATCTTTTTAAATTCCTTCTTCCTCTGGCCCCTCTTTCCACAGCTCTCCTCTCCAGTCCCCTGTTACCCACAGCAACCCCTGCCCCACCCCCACCCCCTGCAGTCAGTCCTCTGTGTGGAGCTGCCGGCCAGGTTACCTTGGTGTCCAGCCATCCTGAGCCATTCATCAGAGCCACACAAAGAGTCAGGTCTCTCTGAAAATCTCTGGGTTCAGACCACCTACCCGTATTTAGCTCACGGCTTCCCAACGTGCTTTTGAAGAGTCTCGTTCTCTGCTAGCCCAGACACTGCCTGGCCCAGCTTTAGAGGTGTTTGTTTACTAACAGTGCTTTGTAAACTCCTTAGCACCTTCCCTTCTGTTCGCACTTGCCAGGCATATTCATGTATTCAGCGGGCCCCATCCAGGAGCCAGGGTGTGACTGCATGGGCAACAGACTGCAGAGGGGAAGAATTAAATGACTTGCCAAAGGCCCTCCATGCGGACTGGGGACAGGCTGTAAGAGTTTTCCCTTTTTGCTCTTTACCATAAGAAAACCCTTTGTCAAAAGAAGGTGTCAAAGTTTCTTTTGAAACTTTGGAACCAAGTGGAACCAAGTCCTTAGCTAGACTAATTGAGCCATCCTTAAGGGGGGAAGGGTGGCTCCTCCATTATTATGTATCTCTCAGTTCACAAATGAGATAAGAGGGTTTGACTCCTGATATTCATTCCTGTGATTGTTTTGAACCTCAGTTTGAAGACTTTTCTATCTCCTTGAGTACCATAACACTCCTCAGAGCTGAACACAAGACAGCAGAACTTTGAGAGAGACCAAGTCAAAGATTGCAACCTTTTTTTTAATGGAAGAGGAAACAATAATAAATTTGGAAACATGAAATAACATGGTCATCATTATATCCTGCCTCCTTATTTCTGAATGTATATATAGTCCTTTAAGACGCCAAGGACTGATGTATTCTTTGAGATATTTGTCAACGACACGAGAAACATGCTTTGAGTGAAGGCATTTTCCTCTGCAGTGTTCATTTCGATTTCAATGGTTTGCCTCGGTACTTTTCTTTAATTAATACTGTTTATGCTCACTGATGAATAATTCAGAGTCATGCAAGCAACAGATGTCAGAGGATTCAAAATGACTTTCCCTGAATTATTTATTATTTCTAAAAAAGTAACAGGTTTGTTGAACAAGTAATTGGCAACACAGATGTAGATCAAGATCTGTCAGCAGGCAGCAAGGTCGCCTACATCTTCCCTCTTGGTGCTAGTTAATAACCAGGATTGGGGCCGAGCATGCAACCCAGTGGTAGAGCACTTGCCCAGCATGTGTGAGGCCCTGGCTTCAACTCCCAGGTAAAAAAGTTAAATAAAATAAAAAATAAAACACAAACTGCAGAATAAAAGGGAGTTCACTACCACTGTCTAGGGAGTCATTTAATCATCCTATTGCTGACAAGCTGGAACCTTGTTTAGTTTCCAGGTTGTCTATGAATGCTGAAACAGATGTGGGGACTGGTCCAGAAATACAACTAATCAATGGAGCCTTGCAGAGAGTTCTCAGACATGACTTTGTGTAAGTACCCAGAAAGAGAGAACATCATGGGGTACTAGTGCATATTCAAAATATATAAATCCCCTCCCCATACACAGAAAGAGATTAGAAGGAAAGAAAATTTCAGGTATCTTAAAGTTGATGTACAAGAATGTTCTCTGTAGAGCATTCTTCATGATGGAGCTTTAAAGAAAAGGAAAAAAAAACCCTTAAAGTTTTATAATGAAAGATTAGTTTAATAAATTCTGGTAGATCTAAGCAATGAAATATTATATAACCATTAAATGATATGTATTTTTGATTTGGAAAAGTACCAACATTAACAGAGGATGACATTAAATAAAAGAGGTTTTAACCTAGTCTGGTTTCATTTCTGTAGAAAAAAATGCATATGTGACTTTTTGCTGGCATTGTGAAGGGTCTAGAAGGAACTAACACAGAATATTCATAGTAGTTATTTAGGGATGCAGGACCAAGGGTGACTTTTCTTCTCCTTCACATATTTTCTCATCTTGTGCACTATAAATATGTGTGTATTAGTCATAGTAAAAGGTCAGGCTGCTAGGCAAAACGCCCAATAGTACTGTGATTAAAAGGAAGAAGGTCCCCGCCATTTAACAGGCAGGGTAGGTGTTTGGAGCATCAGGTGGCTCTGTTTCCTCCAGATCTGCACGGACCTCGGTTCAGGTTCCTGAAGCGGTGGTTTCTCCATTCATCAGGGACTTGTCCTCCCAAGGGCTGAGGCACAGCTGAAGGGCTGCAGAAGCTGTCACAGGGAGGAAAAGTAGCTACGGATATTTCTTATCCCAAGGCCCTGTCTCAGAGTGCCCACATCACTTCTGCTCCTGTCCCTGGCAGGGACACAGGCCCATGACTGTACCCCAGTGCCAGCTGCAGGGCAGGCGGGAACAAAGCCCGTAGGGCACCTGTGTGACTCTGCTAAGAGAGAGAAGCAAATGAATTTTGGTGGACCATCCTCAGTCGGTCACCTGTGTAATAAAAATAGCATAAAAATGTAAAGCAGTAGAGTTATAGGCGAGATGTCTACAGAGGGCTTTCCTTTTAGGAATTAAGTATAAGGAAGAAGCCTACAATGTGGACACTGATTTCCCAGGGAGTGGAAGTCTGGTTGAGAAACTAGACCAGTAAGATTGTAAAAGGCCAGAAAAACAGACGGGAAGCCAAGGAGAAAATTAGCCACGGTCCCGGATTCCCCGGGTTATTTATACTTTTAAAAGAAGTGAAACTCCTTGTGTTTTGTGGTATTTTGGGGTAACAGGACTGCCCATTACACCATATAGGAACTGAATCATATTTGCCTACTGACCTAACAGTTTTAAGCTCCAACTGACCTTCATTTTGCTATTTATTGTAATTTTTTAATACATAGTGATATTTATTTATTTATTTATTTATTTTCTTTTTTTGTCTTTTTATCGGTACCGGGTATCGAACTCACGACTACCTGATTCCAAGGCAGGCGCTTATGCCGCTGAGCTAAATCCCCAGCCCCACATAGTGATATTTAATATGAAGTATCTTGAAAGAGCTAAGTTTTGTTGTTGTTGTTGTTGTTGTTGTTTGCTTTTGTGTTTTTTTGAAACAGGTCTCACTATGTAGTTTTTCTGGCCTTGAACTCACTATGTAGCCCAGGCGGGCCTGGGACCACCAGCAGGTTGCATTTTGAGGTCAGTTTGAGGCCTCAGGTTCCCAAGTGCTAGGATTACACACGTGTGCCACCACACCTGTGTAGAGAGCTAGGATTTAAAGGAAACTCTTGACTTTGTCATGTAAGAACTACCTTTTAAATATAATTTT